TCTTTCCCTTTTTTAACTCACTTTTACCCAAACATTTTATTTGAATTATTTATTTAATTAATAAATTTTAAATTTGTTTTCTTTTTGATTTTATTTTTATTTAAACTATTTAATTAAATGAAAATATTATCTTTTCATGTCTTTTACTTTCATTTATTTAAACAAAACTAATATCAACTTTTTCTTTTCTTTCACTTCTCTTCTCTTTTCTTTCCCTTTTTTAACTCACTTTTACCCAAACAAATGTTAAAAGTCATTTATGAGAGTGGATATTCAAATTAAAAATCTTTGTACATAGTTCAGTTTAGATGTTGCCTTCCTCTTCTCATGCTAACGGGAGACCTCAATTGGAAGAAGAAGAATAAGAAGAAAGAATTCACAACAGAGGCAAATGTTGGCTGTCATCCCAGAGAAAAAAAAAGATTTGAATATAAAATTGCCCTCTTCTATTATTTTTGGTACAATCTAGAGAACAAGATAGTAATACAGAGACATTTTATTATATAATTTTTACTCATTATTAAATAAATTAATGTATTTAGTATTACTGTTCTTAAATAGAGTTCTACATGATAGCGTTTATGGTAGTTTAATTTTTAATTTTTAATTTTTAATTATTTAAAAATATATAAAATATTAATTAAAATAAATATTAAATATATTTTTAAAATATTAAAAAATAAAAATGTCCTGTAACTGATTGCCATATAATATGCTGTGAAGTATGAAATACTACAACCAACAAGGGTTGGATCAAATGGTAAGCGGCTTGTTCCAGCTTAAGCAAGGTTTTGAGTTCGAATCCTTGTATACGCAGCAGTCCTCGCTGGGTGATTCACTCACCATTTCCAAGTGCACGACGCGGATCGAGTCCGGATTAGTCGAGACGAAGTCTTGGATACCGGACAGAAACAAAAAAAAAAAAAAAAAGAAGTATGAAATACTAATATTTTAAATAAAATTACAAGCTATAGAGTAATCTTCTCCGATTGGAAATCGTATGCGCAAAAAGATAAATAATGCATTTAAGTGAGGAGAAGAACCTACCGTAAACCATAGAAGAAAGAATGGATTCGGCTTCCGGAGGAGGAAGAGAAAGCTCGGTTTCGGCCTGAGAAGGTGAAGTCGCCATCGCCGGTCCTCAAGCTCAACGGAGTTGAAATGAATGGATTTGTCTCGTAGGTGCGAGAAGATATATGAGGAAAACATATCGTTTCGGCTCGAAACGCTACCGTCTTGCGGTATTGCGGAACAATTAGTTTACTTTTTTATTGATATTTTAAATACATGATTTCTTGATTTTTTTATTTTTCTTTACGTCAAATACATAACTGTTTATGTGAAACGAAAAATTAAAAATGAGTGAAGATCTAAAAAAAAAAAAAAGAGTGGGGATTATTATTAACAATTTTTTTTTCTAAAATTCTTATTTTGTGCAGTTTGTATGATAAAAATGAACTATTATAAAAAATAATTTTTAATATTAAAAAATTTATTTCCATCTAATACTATTATACAATGTATAATGAGTACTTGTGTAGGTTGAACATTATAATATTATTTATTTATTTATTATCACCACGTTATTTTTTGAATCTTTTTAACATATGCTGTTCAGAAACAAATTAATGATATATATTTTATATATCTTTTAGCAATGGTGGAGCTAGAAATTAAGTGAAGGGAGGCGAACTTCTTGACTAATGATTTAAGTCTTAAATATTTTTTTTTTATGATAATAGTTTATTTTTTTCATTAATATTTTCTTATAATCTAAATAAAATTAAGAAATTAATAAATTTGTTTCATCTCATATTTCAAATAATTTTTTATTAAAAACTAATTGCTACACACCCAATTTAATACACTCTATGATACTTGTTTCACTTCAATTATTAAACTATAATATAAATATAATCGATTTAATCAATTCTTATATCTTCTATATATGACTACATGTTTAACTTTATATATTTTTAATTTCATACTAAAAAATAATATTTTTTTAATAAATATGATGTGTAATATGTTGAATCAAAATCTATATCAATTATGCCATTTTTTATTAAATGAATCATTTTATTAAAATAAAAAACAACCCCTCACTATGATAATACTTAAATAATAGATCAACTAATTCAAATAATTTTAAAATTTTACTCTTTTTTAACTCAAAATGATTGTCTTTTTTTTATTGATTTATTTACTAAAAGTAATTATTTCCCATCTCAAAGTACTGAACAATATGAAATAGAGAACATATAATTCAATACTTAAAATTTGAAACCATTAGCTAAATAAAGATTCAAAGATTTTTAGCAACTAAAATTTTTGTTTATCAAATCATTTTCCAATATAAATAAAAAAAATAAAAAAATACAATCTAAAACAATTCAAAAACTTAAAGGAACAGGATCTTTAAGTTGGTGTTTAATTAAAAGTCTTGATTCCTATATTATTTAATATGTAGGAAATTTAATTATTTAAATTAAAATATATT